AGGCGCTGTTGGAACGGTTTTTTACTCCTAAGGAAACGCGCGTGCTGACAGACAACCAAGGAGTTTATGACCCAAACCCACGTCCCCAGCAAATCGGGAGAGGCAGGGCGGTGAACTGTCCGCTTGAGAAGCAGCAAGAGGCAAGGGGCCCGGCTTGTCTACCCAGCAACCCGAGGGACCTGCGACCGCCTCTGGCCACCACATCCCGGGACGCGGGTGGCGCCGCCGGGCCCCGCGGGGACGACAGGCGGCCTCGTGCACACACCACCTGCAGCAGGTGTGCCGGGCCGCTTTCTTCGGGCAAAGTGCCGGGCTGGGGGACCGGGTGGCAGGCCCCGCGGCCCGTCTTCCGCGCCCCCGCCCCACCCCCACCAATGGGCCACCCCCGCGCGCGCCAGGAAGGGGGCCGCGCGCCCCTACGGTCTCGGGAAGGAGGGGGCGCAGGCCCGGCGCCTGAGGCGCACTCCCCACCGCCGCCGTCTCCCGGCTCCACCGCGAGGCGCCCCCCACCCCGGCCTCAGGGGACCGGCAGGGGGCCCCGGTCCTCACCTGGTTGAGACAGTCCTCGCCGTTGGCTTTCGCCTCCACCTCCACCTCCATCAGCACTGCGTCCGGCCTCGTCACATAGCACAGCATGGCTGGGGCCGCCGCTGCTGCCACAGCCGCCTCGTCTTTGGTGTGCGCGGGGCTCAGACCCAGCTCCGGGATCAGCGAGGCTGGCCCCCGGGAGACGGCAGCCCTGCAGACCCCTGCCCTACGCCCCGCAGCCGCCGCGCCCCGCGCACCAACCCCCTCTGCCTCGCCAGCCCGCGCGTCAGCCGGCTTCCCGGGTCCCCCGGCGGCGCCGCACTCCAGCAGCCCGACTGCCTGCGCCGCGACGGGGACTCCTTAGATATAACGGCCCCGCCCCCCTCGGCTGGGGCCCCCGCCAATCACGGCGGCCCCGCCCCTCCGCCACCGCCCGGCCAGCCAATAGCGGCGCCCGCTCGGCCGCCGCCCGCCCTCCCATCGCCGGCGGAGTGTCCCCCCGCCCCCACACCGGCCGCCGGGGAGGGGGCAGCTCGCGGGAGCCGTAACGCTGAGGAGAGGAGGGAGGCCCCGCAGCGCCGCCGCTGTGTCTGCCCGCTGGGCGACGCTGCTTCGAGCCCGCGACCGCCCGGAGCTCGCAAGCGTTTTTGACAGGCTTGAATTTACAGTGATTTAACTGTCTGCAAGCTGCTGCTATTCTTTAGAAGCCTTGGGTCGCTCCAGTAGCACGTTTCGGGGGGTGAAGGCAGAGCAGCTCCAAAGCTTGAAAAAACTCTTGTCTCTGGGGTTTGCCACAGTGACTGGTTGGAAGGCGGAACTCTTGTTCATTATTTTAGATCTCGTCGTTGGAAAAAAAAATCTGAGTGTAAAAGTTTGTGCAGTTGTTTTTCAGTAAGGCAGGGAGTTTCTCCTCTAGTGCTTTCTCTGTGAACCCTCCCCAAAGGCTTCTGTTTACCCGTTGTGCTGAATCAAAACACTGTTCAGGGCACTAAGGCCCGCTCTCAGGTTGTCTCTCATCGTTGTCTTGCCCTGTCTCATTTGTTCATTAGACATTAATTGAGCACCTGCCCCGGTTCCAGCCCTTTCTCTCAGACAACCAGGTGTTATCCTCAACTTCAGGGTAAGGGACTCCTCTCAGAACCGCTATTGAAGCTATAAATAATTAAAGGTCTCCAACTCTTTCCTCATTTACCACTTGTTTCTCTTAGCCAACGCATTACTCAGCCTACATCTTTGGTTTCTTTATAGGAGAAGCCAGAGATGTGGCTTTCAGCCTTGGACCCTTGAAAGCTGACTTCTCTCTGCAGCTCAGTGTTTCATCAGGCAGATGGAAACTATAGTGTCTGTCCTGCCTTGGAAAGAGCAGCAGAGGTAGTTTTCAAGAAAGCATTTAAATGACCTGGTTTATGGTATATGTAAGGAGATCTATATCACCAGCTCTGTCACCACCTGCGGATGACTTCCGTCATTATCCCTTTGTCGGAGTTCCAATTCTTTCTGTCCCACTGACATTTATTTACAAAGAAGTAAGAATATCAGAGGAGAAGACTACTGGTTAGGATCCTACCACAGTCTTTCACTGAAGCCCATGATGGGCTAAAACAACCACGTCCCAACCTCCAGTGCTGCAGAAGGGCATGCACACGCATATCTTTCCTTGTGTCTTTTAAGAATACACCTCACAAGACTTCCCTGGTGGTCCAATGGTTAAGAATCTGTTTTGCAATACAGGGGACATGGGTTCTATCCCTGGTGGGGGAACTAAGATCCCACATGCTGGGGAGCTAAGAAGCCAGTGCACCTCAAATGCCTAGCCCTGTAAGTACTGAGCCCCAGCGCTAAGACTAGAGAGTCCCTGCTCCACAAGGAAAGATCCCACGTGATGCAAGGAAGATTCCCCTGTGCCGCAACTAAGACCAAACACAGCCAGGTATGTATATATATAATACATCTCAAGATAAGCTGCTGAAATAGTCCTGTCTTGTATCAACTCTTGTTCCTGATTCACTTAATTTCAGTTTAGTGATCTGGGAAATTTATCTAGGAGATAATATTTGGGTAATTGTCATCTAATCTGTGCTTAATCTATAGAAATTTTAGAACTGGGAGAAGAGGTGAGGGGCAAGACAGAGGCCAGGTGTATTGCTTATTTTTGCTTATTGAGTGACCACGGTGGCTAAACCAATGCCGGTGAACCAACAGTTGTCTAATTAAAGCAAAAGAGAATTTAGTGCAAAAATTTGGGGGAGCTCACAGAATCAGTGTGGACGAGGCTTGAAAATGAATGGAAAGGGAGACGCATCAATTGGCCAAGAACAAAAATCAAAAACCAAAACCTAAACACAAAACAACCAAACACTGAAACCAAATACTCATGCTGTGGAGAAACTACTTTAAAAATAGCATATTTTTGGTTTGCCAGGGATATTTCTTAATATAAACCAAGACCATGCTTTGACTGTGGGATGGTTGGTAAAGATGTCAGTGAGTTTTGAAATTGAATCATCAGATAAGACTGAAGAAAAGCATTTCTTAAAACAAAACAAAGCTAAAAATAGGAAAAACAGCACTTGGGGTGGGGGTAGAAATCATGATGACCAAGAAGAAAAAGAAAACTGGCTTCTATTAGCATGTCCAGGAAATAGGAGACCTTAATCGTTTCCTCTCTTCCTCTCTCTCCCCCTGGTTTTTCTCTTTCCTCATTTCTTCGTTGAGTAGAGATATAGAGACCAGATTAGTTAGGAATGAGAAGGCTGAGTTTGCTGGTGCCTGGGTGAGAAAGCAGATTATGTTCAAAGACCTGGTTAGGGAGTAAAAAGCCCACAGTAGAACTGCTTCCTAGAGGATCCCACCATCTGGCAATGCTATGAAACGTCTGGAGCCGGTTTCAAGCCCCAGCTGGGTCTAACTCCAAAATAAGCCTGCACACCCGGGCCTGGGGGTGGTAACTGTATTGGACTGAGCTGTGACTGGCAGTTCCGGATTAGCCAGAGAAGTGCTACATTTTACTTGTGTCTGGTCTCTTATGCTCTCCATTAGCTATCACCTCTTAAAGATGGTGTTAAAATTAACCAGCAAAGTAAAAGGATTGGTTGCAGGAAGGTAGATTTTAAAAATACTAATAGAAACCATAGCTTAAATGGCTGTTCAGATACACCCAGCATCCACACCTTTTCTTTCTGTCACTGGTACGAAGGCTAAAGACGGAGCACTAGATAAGATTCGTAAGATGCGATACCATGGTCATCTGGCTTCAAAATTTTCTTCTGGCTGAGCACAAGGTTTGATCTGGCTGGCTGGGTACCTCTCTGTATGCATTCCTTTCTAAACACTGCACACACTGCTGCAGAGATCCTGTGCTAGGTCAAAGGAAAGGCTCTTCTCCCTCTTTACCTCTCGAATGTTCGTTTGTAAGGGCACAGAGCGACTGCCTGAAAATCTGTCTTTATCCTCTCACACATTATTCAAGCTAATTTTTCTATCAGCAATGCTTTATCGAGCACAAGCATGTTAAACTGTGTGGAGTGAGCTGAAATCTCTCATTTGAAATGTTAGACTTGTGAAATTCAGGAGTAGTTTAATTTGATGTTTGCTTGGCATCAATGTAGAGCGTCTCATTTCCAAACCTGGCTGTCTGAAGATTGGAAGAAGGAGAGGAGAAGCAACGCCCATATTACAGACTCTGGAACATATAAAATGGCATTGTCTTAACTAGCAGGTGGTTTAAATGGTTTTTTCCCCTAGTTGTGAGAGTAGTTTATGTTTATGGTGGTCTCCTTAGAAAAGACTGAAAAGTACAAGGGAAGAACGAAGTAGCTGTGTTTTATCAGGCATTTCCAGTTAGTGTTGATGTTTTACTTTTGTACTTTGCATGCACTGTGCTCTAAATTTTGATTGTTGCATAATCAAATACTGCATATGAAGTTCTGGAGAAAGATCAAGAGACACTTATGGTGGGAAGTTTCAAATCTAAACCTAGTGTTATGAATATTAGGAAAATTATAAATAATTATAAGTGGCTCAAATGGTAAAGAATCTGCCTGAAATGTGGGAGACTTGGGTTTGATCCCTGGGTGGGGAAGATCCCCTGGAGAAGGGCATGGCTGCCCACTCCAGTATTCTTGCCTGGGAAATTCCATGGACAGAGGAGCCTGGTGGACTCCTGGTGGGTCCATGGAGTGGCAAAGAGTTAGATACAATTGAGCGACTGACACTTTCACTTTCATAAACAAAAAGAATAACCTCCACAAAAAATTCCAATTATTACTCTTTCTCAGCTTCTTTTAAAAAATTTTTTCTGAAATATTACCCTTTCTTCTGTTTTCCTTCTTACTCCTAGTATACCTGGAAATGCATGTATCATTTTGTTGAGAGATGCTTAGAACTGGGAGATAATTTCCAATTTGGCAAGTTTTGTGTAACAACAAAAATAGTTTGTTCATTCTTTGGATACCTGTCTTTTATTTATGGAGATGATCGATGATTAGGCAACTGCTTCTCAAGTCTGGTGATATGCAAGGACTGATCCACCCACAATAAGGTATATAGTCGTTCTGATCTTGATTGAGTGCGTAAGTAGATGCCGGGGATGTAGTTGGGAGCCGTGGAACAGAGAACAGATCCAGTGTGCCTGAGGCTCATACTCACAAACCTGCCCTAACTGGTAGGTGATCCAACCAGCTGATCTGTAATGACACCCCTCTTCCTGGCCCTTCACACCATGTCTGGACACGCCGTTCTGTGAGAAAAAAAAAGGCGGGGAGCTAACATGATACATTGTGTGGATGGGTTTGACATAGAACTTGGTGGGGGTGAAAGTGAAAGTGTAAGTCGCTCAGTTGTGCCCAACTCTTTGCGACCCAATGGACTATAGCCCACCAGGCTTCTCTGTCCATGGGGATTTTCCAGGCAAGAATACTGGAGAGGGTCGCCATGCCCTCCTCCAGGAGATTTTCCCACCCCAGGGATCGAACCCAGGTCTCCCACTTTGCAATCGGATTCTTTACTGTCTGAGCCACCAGGGAAGCCCATTCTTTTCATGATTAAAAATTATTTATCATAGACAGACTGCCCAGGGCACGTGCTAGATTTCAGCATTGTGATATAGACTGAGAATAAGCAACGTCAAATTTCCAGGTGTTTTGAGAATAATAAAATCCCCTTCTTCCTTTTCTAGCTCCAGTCAATAAGAGGCCTTTCTCAGATTATAGTTGTTCTTAACCAGCTTCAAATATACATAGATTTTTTAAAAATCCCATCTAGCTGTGAAAATGGCCACTTGAAAAATGGCAAGTTTTAAATATAAGGCAGGGTATACAATGAGATAATATGGGCAAAAATACTTAGAAAAAAAGTGATATTCAAATATACAGTGGTAAAAATGATAGTATTCCTTTAAATTGCTCACCAGTGTTCTGTGTCTTTATCATCTATTTGATGTCCTGCTGTGTAAATCAGCTCTCTTAGGGGACAATTCTTGCTGTTGGATGACTGGCAGGATTTGCTGCTCCTGGTGATATATATATAATAGTAAGACTAGTTAGCTCATTTCTTACTATAAATGCAAAATCATCTTTCACCATTAGGATTTTAGTGTATGTCATGAAAAGGAAAACACATATTATCAGTAATTAAATGAACTTATTTACAAAACAGAAACAGGATGACAGACTTAGAGAGTGAACTTCTGGTTGCTGAGGGGGTGGTGGTGGTGGGGAAGATGGAGGGAAGGGATAGTTAGGGAGTTTGGGATGGACATGTACACACTGTTGTATTTGAAATGGATAACCACCAGGGGCCTACTGTATAGCACAGGGAACTCTGCTCAATGTTAGATGGCAGCCTGGATGGGAGGGGAGTTTGAGGGAGAATGGAGACATGACTGACTGTGTATGCTAAGTCCCTTCATTGTTCACCTGAATCTATGACAACATTGTTAATTAGATTTACCCCAATACAAAATAAAAAGCTTTGGAAAAAACACTATCCTAAGTGTTTATGGTGGTGCCTTGCAATATTTATATAATGTTAATAAGACCATGTTAAACATGTTTTAAGATTTAAAAGCTATCTTTCATTACTTAAATTTTTTACTTGACATAATTTTCAACTTATAGGAAAGAATAATACAATGATTTCCAAACAGTTTCACACCATATCCTCAAATATTAATCACACTGCTTTATTCTTCTCTTTGTGTACGTAATCTTTTCCTGAACTATTGGAGGGTAAGTTGCATACATGATGCTACCTTTAACCCTAAATACTTCAAGGATAAGTATTAATTGAAATGAATATCCACATAGTCCCAAATTAGGATATTATCTTACAGAATCACACACAATTATCATAATTGGCAAATTAATATTGATGTGATACTATTATCTAATACCCAAGCCTTATTCATATCTCACCACTTTTTCCATTAGTGTCTTTTATAGCAAAAGAAAAACCTGGGGTTGTTTTTTGCATTCATTTGTCACTCTACCCATTTTTGATCTGAAACACTTCTTCAGCTTTTATTTGTCTTTTATGACATTGATATTTTGAAGAGCACAGATCTTGTAGATGATGCCTCAAGTTGAGAATAATCATTTTAAAAGTAAAAGCAAAGATAACACAATGTAACACACTTATTCCAAAGAAGGGTAAAAGGATTACTGAAGGCCAGACCTTTTTAATGCCCCTCACACACTTTTCGGTTTTCTAAATCGATTGTTGTCATAGACAGGGCTTTCAGACGTAAATCTTATTTGAAGGTCATAAAAAGAAAAGACTGACATGTGCCTTTAATTGTCATGATCAAATTCCAATTAGATGGGTTAATAGCTTTGTGAGGGGTTGGCCATCCCTTGCCAGACTAACCTTCATTTCGAGGTTTTTCAGAACTATAAAGCCTTCACTGGATGGTGTTATCAAAAGAAATCAAACTATGAAAAAGGGTTCAGTGTTCACCAGTGCCTCCCTCATCATTGGGTCTATTCAGTTCCCATGGCCTGCCTACCAGTTTCAGTAACCGTTTCACATTTCCTAATAACGAGACTCCGGTCACTTGACATTGCGTCCTGCCCTGCAGCTCTCCTGCCGGCACTCCTGTTTTCAGCTCTCCTTCCCGTCATTGTGGCAATAGAAAATGAGTGTCACATCCACCTGGGAGAAGGAAAAGTATGCAAGCATCAAGTGGCACATAGCAGGCAAGTCCTGTGTGAATGGTTTATCACACACCTCAGTCCAGTCTAGCCCTTAGGTGCTTAACCTTCAAGGTACTCTCAACTTCTGTCTGCATGTTTCACCCCAGGGGAAGATTCTCCTGCAGGCCTCTGAGGGTGACCAACAATTAGGGGCTCAGCATCCACCATACCCAGCAAAAATTAATAGAAGAACAAAGGGCAGACAGAATCTGTCCGGGTAGCAGAGCCTTTAGGATCACCTCTCCCTCCTTANAGTTACACTTCAAAGGATAAATATTTATATTATTCTACCCACTCTGTCAATTCAAGGTACTCATTAACTATTCAGGTTATTTCCCCAAATACTGTTTAGCAGGTATTTATGCTTGGACAAGTAGGTTACTGGAAAAGTAGTAGGGAGTTTTTGTAGTCTTTAAATTCTATTAAGCCCATGTTTCTTATTTTTTAAAACATTGTACATTCTCATTACCTGGAAGTCCTTTGAACCTTGTTAATTATAATAATATTATCTCATTGCTCCAGGACAACTATTAAGGCAGACCTTTTTGATGGTGCTTCCTGTAACACCAACATGTAGTTTCAGATACAAAGGAAGCAGCCAATTTAACTTGAGAAACAAGCTGTACCACACCAAAGAGATTTTCATATGGAAGGAGGTATCTTTATATGTATATATATACACCAAGTACATATTTTAATATGATAATGTCTGAGATACTTCCAGAGAGAAATAAAGCGGTGCTTTCTCCAAAAGCTTATGAGCTAAGTTAAGCAGTAGGTCATTTGTTACCAACTTCTAATATTTCCTCTTCCTCCCTGTAAGTTCATTCTGCTATAAGTTCTCATTCAGAGTCCTTTATGCAACATCCACACAGGCAAAATGGAAACATGGTCAGTGAAGATCACCAGCCTTCAGACTGATAGGCTAGAAAATGATATTAATGTGAATTTTAATGCTGACCTTGAAAATCACATCAAAGCCATATCCCAAGGATGTGTTCAGAGCTGTAAAGTTGGGGTAGGACCTGTCATTGGGTACAGTGGGTTGTTATATGATTTAAATGAGATCAATTACATAAAAGCACTATCAAAATATGAAGTAAGATATATTTTCCTTTATGCACAATGGGAGATGTACTTAATTTTCTGTTTCTTAAAGTTCAAAGAATTAAAGTACATAACATAATGGAAATAAAATTATATAAACAATGTGCTTTGCAATGATATCACAAGCCACATGTGTTTTCTTTTAAGAGTCATGTAGAATATGGGATCCTTGCTGCCAGATCTCTGTGTGATGACCATTGAAGCATCAGTGGCTTTTGAAGGAAGCTCTGCCATCTCCCTCGCTGGTCTGCACAAGAGAGAAATGAAATTTTCCTTTTGGAGGAGAGAATTACATTTCTGATTCTACATCTGCCAAACCTGCTCCTTCTTCAGTTTTCCCATCTCAATACACAGTAACTTCACCAACTGAAGCCCAAGAATCATGGGTTCCTCTCTTTTTTACACACTCTGCATCTAAGTCATCCACAAATTCTGGGCTATTGCAGTAATCTACAGTGTATCCTCCAGAAAGAGCCACAATGATGCTTTAAAATCAAATCATTCCTCTGCTCATAACCCTCTGATGGTTTCCTATCTGACTCAGAATAAAAGCCAGAAAGTTGGTAATGGCCCACCTGGTCTGGCCTCCACGTTCCCCACCCCATCTCCTGCCACTCCTGGGGGTTGCTCACTGCCCTGCAGCTACACCGCCCCCCCTTGCTATTCCTGAACTGAACATGCTCGTGCCTCAGGGCCTTTGCACCAGCAGTTACCTCTACTTAGAAAGCTCTGTCCCTGGATATTGCCATGACTCACTCCATACCTCCTTCCATTCTTAACTCAAAGCCTTCCATGACTAAACTCCATACCTTCTTTCGTGTTTGCTTCCTTTATTAAACTTGTTTTTGGCTGCATTGGGTCTTCCTTGCTGCTTAGGGGTTTTCTCTAGTTGCAGTGAGCTGGGGCTACTCTGTATTTCCAGTTTGCAGACTTCCCATTATGGTGGGTTTTCTCGTTGAAGATCACAGACTCTAGGGCGTGTGGGCTTCATTGGTTTTGGCACTCAGGCTTAGTTGCCTTGTGGTGGGTGGGATCCTCCTGAACCAAGGAGTGAACTCGTGTACCCTGCATTGGCAGGCAGATTCTGTGTCACTGGACTCCCAGGGAAGCCCTTTCTTGCTTTCTTATTTGGCATAGCACCTCTTGCCATCAAGCATATTTTCTTAATATAATTTGCTTGTTTGTTTTTTTAGTTGCCTGACTCCTTCCTCCTCTCCCTGTCTTCCCTCTAACTGTTCCAAATAGAATGTAAGCTCCCTGGAGCAGGTGCTTTTGTTTTGCTCACTGAAATATCCTCAGCTGTTAGAAAGTACTTGGCGGACAGAAGAAACTCATTAATTACATGTGTGTTGGGGGCCCTCAAGACCACTCCCAGGTCTGTGATTATCTAGAAGGACTGGCAGCAGTCACTCACAACTAAGACTGCTTACAGAGAAAGGCTACCTGGTACATTCAGTAAGAGAAAAAACACAGGGGGTGAAGTTTAGGGAAACCAGATATGAGCTTCCCAGGGTTTGTTCCTAGTGGAGTCACACAGAACACAATTCAACCAGCAGTGAGTCGTGACAGCACATGCACAGTGCTGTCTACCAGGAAACTTCATTAGATACTTGGGGCCCAGGGTTTTTACTGTAAGTTGGTCACATAAGCAGAGGCTGTCCTGGTGGCGCAGTAATAAAGAATCCGCCTGACAATCGAGGAGACTCAGGTTCGATCCCTGAGTTGGGAAGATCCCCTGGAGAAAGAGATGGCAGTCCATGCCAGTATTTTTGCCTGGGAAATTCCATTGAGAGAGGAGCCTGGCAGGCTATAATTTGTAGGATCACAGAAGACTTGGACATGACTTAGTGACTAAACAACAGCAACACATAAGCACTCTCTGCCTGGCAGGTGCCAAAGACTCAGAACTTCCATCGTGGTCCATTGGTTAAGACTCTGTCCTTCCCATGTCGGGGAGTGGGTTTGATCCCTGGTTGAAGAACTAAGATCCCACATGCTGTGTGGCATGGCAAAAAAATTTAAAATCTCAGACTCCCCAAAGCAAAGCAGGTGTGCAGCGTAAGCCATGTTTTACCCGGATAGCCTGGGTACCATGAATTATTCCTGTCAGTTCTACTACTGGTGAGCTGTTGTTTAGTCACTGTTGTGTCCAACTCTTTGTGGCCCTATGGACTATAGCCCACCAGGGTCCTCTGTCCATGGGATTTCCCAGGCAAGAATACTGGAGTGGGTTGCAATTTCCTTCTCCAGGAGGTCTTCCCCACCCAGGGATCGAACCTGCATCTCCTGCATTGGCAGGGAGATTCTTTACCGCTGAGCCACCGGGGAAGCCCAGGACTGTTGAGAACCCTCCCGAAGTCCAAATTCCCAGACCACAGGCAAGGGCTAGCCTTGCAAACTATCCTTTCTAAAGAGCAGTCTCAGGCCTGCCACATTAACTCTTCCTGAACAGTATGTTACAATGATCTGTCCCTTTTTAATTGACCAAACATGGAGCACTTTTGAGCTCAAGAGCAAGATAAGATCCGTTAAAGAAAATAAAGTTTCTAGTTTTGCAAATTGGAATCCCATTGAATAGATTGTGAGCTTATTTATATTTCTCAACATAGTTCACCTATTTTTAAAGTAGCCTGGCATGGAAAGAAGATATGGTTAGAACTTCAAGCGTTGCTTGGATTCTATACACTTAAAGATCTGTTTCTGAAGAGGATGAGAAGCAAGCTCTAGATGAAGTGAGCATCTATGAGATGATGCTTTAGTGTGTGTGTGCTTAGTCACTCAGTCGTGTCCGACTGTTTGTGACCCCACGGACTATAGCCTGCCAGGCTCCTCTGTCCATGGGATTCTCCAGGCAAGAATGCTGGAGTGGGTAGCCATTCCCTTCTCCAGAGGATCTTCCTGAGCCAGGGATCCAGGGTCAGGAAGTGTAACATCTTTAGTGTATTATCTTTATTTTATTTTATTTTTGTTTTTTGAGTGCTCAATGCTTAGCAAAGTACCTAGCATAAATGAAGAGCTACATAAATATTTGCCTAGTGCATAAGTATACTACCATAAATATTTTAAATGGTTCTGTTTTATGGGCATGTAAATAAAATTCGACTCCTATTTGAGATATTGTGACAGATGCTAAATACAACCTGAAGACTGGTTATTATAGCTATTGTGATTAAACAGGTTAAAATATTTTTATTGAATCTTATTTAGGTATGTTGGAATTGTAAATAAATAGTTGGCATGTACTGCTTTTGTTTCCTGGAGCTAAAAGAAGAGGGGGAAACACATGTGTGCGTACACACACACCCTTAAAAACTGTCTGGAGTTGTGTTAGGTTGGGGTAAGGAGACTTGTTTGCAGCAACCTTCTATAATGTGAGACTTTCACAGTAATGGTGAGACCGTGGAGAGATTTCTCAGGACAGAATCCCCAAGGAAACTTAAGCCAAATAATTTTGCAAGTTGTAAAGACCAGTGAGAGTAAGGCTGGTTTACTGTGATCTGAAATGAGACAAGTAGAGATTTAAATGTACTTCTAGTCTTTATTTGAATATTGTATCTTGTGGTTTATGACCTTTGTCCAATAAAACTTCTTTTCATAAAAATTATGTTTTGCCTGATAGATATTTCTAAAGCATTATTTAAGTGAAATCTGGTAATTAACTTTTAAATTCTGATGAAAATTAGCATGGTTTTATACATACATAGGCATATTGGTTTGGCCAAAACATTAATTTAGGTTTTTCTGTAAGATGTTACTGAAAAACTTGAGCAACAGTTTCAGCCAACCCAATATATACTTATGTGCCTATATACATACATGTGCATGTATGTGGGTGTGAATTTTAATGTCCCA